CCCATGAGGAAACTATTGAATCATTGGTAGGTGTTATAACACTTGTTGGGTGAGTGGCAGATGTTATACTAGTTATTTGATTAGTGGCAAGTGTTAAAATAGGTGTTGCATTAGTGGCACTTCTTATTAAAATGTTGGTGTTGTAAAAGTTGTTGAATCGGTGGCATAAATACACTTCAGGTGGTAGGCGTTATAAAAGTTATATTGGTGGCAGGTGTTATGAAATTGTTGGATAGGTGGCAGGTATTAGAAACAAAAATTGTCGGATGAGTGGCAAGTGTTACAAAAATTGTTGGGCGAGTGACAGGTGTTATGAAATCAGATGTAGCCCCGGGGCAGGTACGATACAGCGTGGACACATTCCCTTTAACAGGAGGAGCAGCAAGGTGATATTGGCGCATATTGTGCCCTGGCGGTCAATAGTTTGGTTGTCTCCTCCGACTGCTGCCTTCCACCTACCTCAACACCTCCTGGCTCCTCCTTAACACTCATCAGCAGCCAGCTCAAGTATTAGCTGGTGAGGGCATGTGACCACTGTGACCACTCTTGGTGTGATAGCGGCGGCATTATTTCCCCTTGGCTCCACTAAGTGTGGATGGCAGTCAGGCCTTGCCTCAGGCTTAGCTCTCATTCGCGATCTCGTTTTCACTCTTGCTTTCGTTCTGGCACTCTTGCTTTCATTCTACCTCTCACTTTTGCTTTTGTATTCGTTCTCGCTCTTATTCGCTCCCTTGCTTTTCTCTCTCTCTCTCTCTCTCTCTCTCTCTCTCTCTCTCTCTGTTGCTCTTGAGTAGTAAACAGTTATGGTGTATAGTCCACACAACAACTGTTTCATTCAACAATCCTATCCGGTAATCCTGACCCTTACCCCGCTTCTCTCTCTGACTTGTCCTCTCTTCTACCTCATGACTTTGTCTCCCTCCTCACTCTTCTGTTCACTTTGTCACCCTTGTCTCTGATTTCATTTTGCCTCTCTTTGTTTTTAACTTTCCTCTCCACATTTTGATCGTCCTCTTGTTCACTTCCTAGTCTTTATCTTTCGTGTTTGTCTTCGTCTTTTCTATGTCCCTTTCTTGTCATGTCCCCTACTTGTTCATCCCTGCTTCCTGCTTACCCTGCAAGAATAGCTTGACTGGCTGTCTGGCAGGCAGGCAGGCAGGCAGGCAAGAAGGCAAACAGGCTCTTTAGTTCGTCCATTTCGTTGCAAAAGTGCACCAGCAAAATCTCCTGCTATCGTTTTCGTTTTTTTACGCAACTTTTACCAGATATGTGTATTTTTTAACTTAGTCATCCGCTTCTCACCCTCTCATATTCCATACATTCTTATATTTTTCACCGATCAGATTACTTCTTAGATGAATTTAATATTTCTTGTGTGTTTAATACTTGCAGACGAAGCTTAGTATGCTGAAGCCTTGTTAATTAGGTATTCTCGAAGGGGGATCTTTCAGTGGTTATCTGAATTTTCTTTAATTCTCTCTTTCTTTTCATTTTTATTCGCTCATAACTCGAGAACGTCTCATCCAATCAGCTTTCAAATCTTCATTGCTAGTATACTGTATCTAGGACCAGATTCATGGAAGATGTGGTATGTGCACGAGTCCTGTTACCAGAGTTGAGCCATTCCCAGCATCTTGGAATGTCTAGGATATCTTCCAAACTCCTCAGTGGCGTAGCTCCAAACGTTAATACAAATGGTGCCTCGTAATTCTACGACGACGGAGAATGAAATTCTGGTGTCTATAAAATAGTGTGAAATTTTGATTTCCGTTAAATTAGGTTAAATAAATTTCAATTTACCTCTTTTGAACGGCTTTAGTATTTAATAGTTGATGTATATTACAGCTAGAATAGTACCCACTAAGTTTTTTTGTGTGTGTGTCTGTGAGCAGGAAAATTTGCCAGTATAGTAAAATAGTTAAAAAAAAAATGGAATTATTAGAATCCGTGTTATGTCTGGAAAATGGCTCATCCGATCGACTGTTACTGAGCGGCATGGGGCCCAATTTTCCAGTTTTATTCAGTAAATAATGTTATTAATTTAAATTCAGTAACCAAAGAGTGCTTCTTCTGCTCGGGATGAAAAAATTTTTATGCATTCTATGAGAAGAATGATGCCACATAAGTTTAGTCTGAGTTGGTGCAAATTTTAAATTGTACTGAAATTGTTAAAAAAAAATCTTGATCTTGGAGTCAGATTAGTTATTGATGAATGCCTTGTCCGATTGGCTTAAAACTTTCACAGACAGTAGGCTTCATTAAAAGAAAGCTTGGCATTCACTTTAAGCTTTGTAAACTTTAATTTGCCAGTTCTAATAAATAGTTAATTTCTCATATAATAACTGGAAGTCATCTGATTGGCTTGAAGCCGATTAAAAGATATATCATTAGTATTTTTGCATTATTTTATTTTGTGTTGGTACCCAGTTGCCATTTTTTACAGCAATTTTATGAAATTTGATTTTTTAAATATAAAATTATTTTTCTTATAGGAATGTAGAGAATTTGTTATAGAATATAAGTGACAAAAAAAAAAATATCACGTTTTTAGGGAGTTGTTGAGCGAGGATAAACTTTCCTATTTTCGCAACATTCTCGGCATCATTTTTTCTTATCTTTCTCCATAATTTTCGATTTTAACTCTAAAACGCTATATTCGATCAGCTTCAAATTTTCAGCACTGATGTACTGTATCGTAAGCAAAATTTATGGAAGTCCTTGCATGTGTGAGTGTCGTACAGTGTTGCACAGGACAGTCCCAGAGTTTGTTTCCTTCATTGATCACCTTCAAAATTTCAGCATTCGTGTATCCTACTTAGTTGATATTGTTGGTGAGGTGTCTAGCTGCTTCGTTGACACTTTCAATCTTGAATGTTATAACATTGGTAACTGCTGCTCAGGGACTCTTGATCCAAGGAACTAGACTTACCTTCCCCTGCCTTGGCTCGACTCTGAATGCCTCCCATTCCTCACATACTATTCGACCCCTGCTAGTTTAGCTCTTCTGATTAAAATAAAACATTTGTGACCACCATCAATCTTTAATGGCGATTTATCTTATGAAATGGGCGAAAAATTATTTGGCTTTGTAAGTACATATTTTATTGACTTCTCCGCAATAATAGGAAAACAACTCTTTTGTTGGTTTTAAACTTGTAGTGCACATGCGTTTGTCTCATAGGAAGTTTTGTCTTGATTTTTGGTCGTGTAAGTTTTAATACGCTAATTTTATTTAATCAGGTTACCCTGGGTTGAATCTAAATAATGTTTATATAATAAAACTTACTTAATTACTTGTATGCATACTTAAACCTTAATGCTGGTGAATCTTATTTAGAGGAAGGTTTGTATTTATTTTAACCTGTTCTGGAAGAAGCTTTAAAAATTAAAATACTGATTTTCTTGCTTTACCCTTCAGCCTCGATAACTATATAATGCAAATTCTGATCGGGTTTAAACTTAATGTGGTGGTGTATTTTAGGATAGTGTTCCGATATAAGAAGCTCTCCTCAGTTTGTCTTCAAAGAAAGTATTTCTTTCTTAAAAAACTTGATGTTAGTGTCTTTGTGACAGATTGTGAGTACCATATCTAATTCACATCAAATTTTCAACGTTAATTTCTTACATAATCGCATTAGAAACTTATACTACACTCTACACTAATCTCGTCGTGTACTTAGGCGTTTATTTATACACATTGTTGAACTTTTGATAATAAATATACAACAATATTAAACTCTCGTTCATTAATAGACAGTAATGTTCACAGCTATACAGTATTGTTGGTTGGTTTGGTAAGGTTTGTCAAGAAACAGGACAAGTGTTTCCTGACGCGGGTCTTAGTCATACGATGACTCACCAGTCCTTATGTTAGCTGTATGGTTTCCTGGCAGCAAGAGCCTAGTAAATTAGTAGTCATAAGTGAAGTCTTGCCTTAGGTCGGGCCGAGTAGAAAAACCCTCGAGCCCGGTCACAGGTATCTAAAAATTGACACACAACACTTAAAGCACAACTTTTTAACTGTAGCCAACAATACCTGAACATAGTCTCCATCTGTTGTAATATTAAACACTAACTTACGTTGTTGGCAAGCATGGAAAATTCTGCATGCACACATGACCCATGTTTACACAGCTGTGCGTGGGTCTTTTTTATGAGAGGAGGAGATGTAGTACGAGTGTGCTTGAAGGTCTGAGATGTACTGTGTTCTTCTTAAAAGTGTTTGCGATGTAGTGTGTTCTTGTTGAATTTGTTTGCTTGAAGGTCTGCGATTTGATGCCTTCTTACTCAAGAGTTTGCTTGGAGATTTGTGATTTAATGTGTTTGAGGGTCTGTAATTTAATGTGTCCTTGTTAAAGTGTGCCTTCGAGGTTCTGTAATTGAAGAGTTGCGCTTGGTTCACAGTTACCCTTAGATTCTTGGGTGGAGTTAACAAAGGCTGGTTAGAACCAGGTAAGAGCTGGACATTCTTACCTAACAACATAAGAGCTGGACGTATAACTATAGGCTGACTCACTCTTGACACTTGGTACCTGGGTCATGTTTTAAAATACTCTGAGGGAAGACACAGATGTTAGCCCACTAGACCCCTCCGAGGAAGAATAGGTGTCTTAATGCCTGTGAACGGCTCTTGATCCAAGGAGCTGGAACTGCTATTTCATGCTCCGATCAAACCTGATTACTTCCCATTTCTCAGGTTAAGTTTGGTAAGGTAAGGTTCGCCAGGAAACAGGACAAGTGTTTCCCGAAGCGGTTCTTGGTCGTCTGACCGAGGACTTCCGCTGGCTTACCGGTCCACCCCTTTAAAAATTATGGTTATTCCTCAGGTGGTGCTATGATTTACGGGTTTAGCGCTTCTCCATAAACACGACAATAATAATACTATTAATTATTGTTCCTGGAGAAATAAAAGTTTAAGTGTCCCCTTGATACTTTTGTACCTTTCCATTGTAACGGAGAGAGAGTTTATCTCCTAGTTCTAATTCTCTCTCTTATTGCAGACGAGAATATCCGTCAGCTGCAGGGTATCCAGGAGAGCATTCAGCGCATGCGCGAGACTAGCCTAGCAGTCAAGGTAAGTGTTATTTCCCTCTCACCAGCTCTGAGACCATCCTGACAGCCAGTGTAAGTTTTACTTTCCTTACTCCAGCTCTGAGAACATCCTAACAACTTGAGACCATCTTGACAGTCAGTGTAAATCTTACTACCCTCACACCAGTTCTGAGATCATACTGACAGTGTAAATCTTACTACCCTCACACCAGTTCTGAGATCATACTGACAGTGTAAATCTTACTACCCTCACACCAGTTCTGAGATCATACTGACAGTGTAAATCTTACTACCCTCACACCAGTTCTGAGATCATACTGACAGTGTAAATCTTACTACCCTCACACCAGTTCTAAGATCATACTGACAGCCAGTGTAAGTCTTACTTCCCTCACACCAGCTCTGGCACCATCCTGACAGTTAATGTAAATCTTACTACCCTCACTCCAAGTCTGAGACCATCCTTACAGTCCGTGTAAGTCTTCACTCCAGCTCTCGCAGCTTACCTCAACTCTCTACATATTTACCTTTGAACTTCTGACAAGTTTGTTCAACATTCCCGGAATTCTCTTGGATTTACGGGAATTTATTTTCCTTTGAGTTAACCTGAATCATGAATCAATTTCCAGGAACACTGATGGTTCTTCTGAAATTCTCTTGACTTTTCCGGAAAGTTGTTTTAACATGAATTAATTGGAGCCATCCAGCAATTTCTACAAATACAGTTGAACATTTCCAGAAGTCACTTCCCTTAACTGGATTTTGTTTTATTTTCCTGGAATTAGAGTTAACACGAATTAGTTGATCTTCTCCAGAATTTTCTGGAGCTTAACGAAGTTTCGCTTGAACTTTAGAGGAAATTCATTTTCCAACTAGCATCTGGAAGCTTACTATGAAATGCTTATTTCCGTATTTGTTCCCAGTTATATATATATATATATATATATATATATATATATATATATATATATATATATATATATATATATATATGTCGTTCCAATAGGTAAAATTGGTCAATTTAGCAAAAACTCGTTTAAAATTAAGTCCTTCCTAAAATTTTATCTTTTATGTTTAAAGATATATTTTTTAATTTATGTTGATGTAAAAATTAATAATTTTGTACCAAAAGAACCTTAGAAAACTTATCTAACCTTATTATAACAAGCACAATTTAATTTAGCCTAATCCAGCTAAATATATATATATATATATTATATATATATATATATATATATATATATATATATATATATATTATATATATATATATATATTATATATATACACACAACACACACACACACACACACACACACACACACACACAACAACAGGCCTAGTGTCTAATCGACATGTGCCTAGGACAAAATGGTAACTAACACAATCGTAAACGAGCGACAAAAGATGCAAAATAATCACAGGGGAAGTTAAATGATAGGTCTAGTCTAGACCTTTTGTGTTGCAATCAATACATCAGGAGCTTGCAATGTTGCAGAGTTGGAAATCCACGCAGATTCGTTCAGGGTAACGAGACTCTCTCTCCAGAAGAGTCGTTTCCTAACCCAGCAATATTAAACTATCAATAGCCCACCCCAGCCAGGTCAAGCCGCCCTCAGTTCGTCCCAGCCATGTCAAGTCATACTCAGACCCACTCCAGCCATGTCAAATTATACCCAGATCTACCCCCAGCCACGTCAAACTGTCCTCCCCCCACCTTAATAATTTCAGGTGTTTGCCAACCGTATCAAGTTATGAGCAAAAAAGCCAGACGTCAACTCACTACCCGACAAACCAGTCAACGTGGTTTAGATTTACCAGCAGCGATAGTCCATCAAAAGTGATTCAGCTACCTTGTATGTTTGTCTACGCAGATCCCTGCTAGAAAAACAAACTGGAAGACCTTATATAAACAGGAACTATGCTGACGTTACAGGCAGTGCTGGTGAAGGGTGTTGGGTGTTGGCGAGGGATGTTGGGATGGGTGTTGGTGAGGAGTACGAGGGATGGTAATGTACGGTGTTGGTGATGGTTAGTGGTGATAGTGATGTGGGATATGAATTACCATGAATAATGATGATGATGGTGATGCGATGTACAAATGACGGTCATGAATCATGGTGATGGTGATAATGTGAGATATAGATAAAATTAATAGGGTAGAAAGAAATAAAACCGTTGGAGAGATAGTGGCCAGTGACAGTGAAACAGAGGTGAAAAAATGAAAGCTAGGCAAGGTTGTAGCACATACAAAACTCCATATATAGCTTCAAGAATATGTACGATATTGTTTCTGCACTGTTGCTTCAGTACTTATGAAGATATGTTGTTAGGCAACTTTGCTTTCATTGTGTCCAGCTGCTGTAGTTTCATTATCTCTACTTCCTTTACTTCTCTCATACAAATTTCCTCTACTGGAAACTTTATTATGAACGGAATTCTTCTTTTATGAACGTCTCAGATCGTTACGAATATTCTCTGCAAGAGAAAGATACGTAATATTATATTCATGGAAAATACTTAGGGGCCTTTTTCCAAATCTGTTCACTGAAATTACTCCCTACGAAAGCAAGCTCGGCAAGCTCCTTATTAAAAGCAGGGGTGAAATGACCACAAAAGATAACTCATTGTGTGTAGAGGGACCAGAACTTTTAATACCTTTCCTTTATACATAAAGGGAACTGATACGTTCTTCCTGTCGGTTCCACGTTGGACTACACGCTGCTAAAGCCAAGAACCACAATGATTAGGTCACCCACCAGAAGGCTTGGTCTGGGACCTAGCCGCTGCGGCTACGACACCTGGGATCATCTACAAGTAACAGTCACCGTAACTTAATAGAGTGAGATACGGGAGAAAGTATAGAATAAACCCAGTAAGAAACATGGGTTCGGTAGGAACAATTAGAGAACACTGTCAACATCTATGTCAACGGATATTCAACTTTCTATTAGATAAAATCAATTTTCCTGAAAAAATGGGTAGTAATTTTCACGAGGACACTGACTCTAGCTGAAACAGGTGGTATATCAGTATTTATGCATGTATGTTACTATTCCTGATGTACTGTGCGTGAATAACCTACCAGGGGAAGGGAGTCTTGTGTCACTGTTTGCTGATGATGTAAATCCTAATGAAGAGAATAATAACAGGAGAGGACAAGTGATAAGCTCCAGAGAGACCTCAGTAGAGTTCATATGTGATCAAAGTGGCTTCTGGAGTTCAGCCCAAACAAGTATAAGGTCATGCGATTTGGAGGAGAGGGCAAACCGGACACAAAAAACAGAATATGCGGAAACGAGCTGCAAATTTTAAGAGTGAAAAAGACGTTGGGGGGGGGGGGGGTAGAGGGAGGTAAATATACCACCTGGCCTATCAAAAGAATTACACATGAATCGTATTACGTCAGCGGCTTGCGGAAGATTAGCTAACCTCAGAATATCATTCAAGAATTTTAACAAAGAGTCCTTCACCACTTTATATACGACCAGTTATTAGGTACGATGTCTCCTTGTATTATAAATTTACTGTAACGTGACATATACCTAGGAACGAATTGTGTGTGTTGTTTTGGCGGTGAATTAAATAGGTAGGTTAGTTATTTATATTGTCATTGTATATTGAGAATAACTCTCGTCACGAGTGTATCATTGATATTGATAGTAGCAAATTAATAGTGATGGTATCAAATTAATAGTGATGGTATCAAATTGATAGTGATGTAATCAAATTGGTATTGATAATAGCAAATTGGTATTGATGGTAGCAAATTGATAAGAGGGGTGGCAAACAAATAATGAGGTTAGCAGTTTTTTTACGTTAAACGCGCCCGAAAAACAATGTATTCGAGTGCTATGTAAATAGCACAACTTAACTCGTATAAAAAATAGACAAAAATATTCTTCTATTAAACCCACCTCACCACCCACCTAATTAGACTGCCTATCACCCACCTAATTACCCAGCCTACCATCCATTACAGCAACCCTCCAACCTCCCTCAACCTTCACCTGCCTGCATCTACTTTCCCCAGAACGTCTTCAGTGCCCCTTGCGCGTCAGAGAGTCATTTCCACCTCTTGAGGTAAACAAAGACGCTTGCGGGAGTACCATCTCCCGCCCTCAACCCCACCACCACCCACCCAACATCTGCATCGATTATTGGCCGCTCACCTGAGCGCCTGGCCACGTGCCTTGCCAATAAGGTCGATTTTCTCACCGCTACCAATGTATGTGATCTCCTACTTCCACTGGGTGTTAACACTGTCATGGCTGTGGCTTTCTTGTAGTATTGTACAAACATGTTTTCTCACGCGCTGATGGAAATTGAGACGGCTGAAAGTGACAATGTGAAGTGATGAAGGGGAGGGGAAGTGAGGTGAGGGACATGGGAAGTTAGATGAGGGGGAAGGGAAGTGAAGTGATGAGAAAAGGAAGTTAGGTGAGAGGAATTTAGGAGAGGTATGTGTGAAAGTTAACGAGTCACTGGGAAGAGTAGTGTACTCTGTTGTATAAAACTGTTGCAGTCATCAAGTGATAGAGTAGAGGTATTAAGTATCGAAGTGCAGAAAACAGACTGGTAATTATCCTTGCATATTAACCACCGTCAGCAATAACAGAGGAATTCAAAGAATAACAATTAAGAAAGAGGGATAGTTATCTTGAAAACCTTGACAATCCTACATATATTATCCTCCTTGGGGATTTCAGGTTTCCAGATCTTACATGGAAGATGGTAACCAGCAACATTGTAACAAAAATAGTGTAGACAAATGGTTCAGACAACCGACAGGATGATGAATTAGACTCGTGCAACACTTGGGTATATTTACTGTGGAAATGTTTCGCCAGCCAGTGGCTTCTTCAGTCCAATACAAAGAAGAATGGTGGGAAAAAAGGACCCTGAGGTAATGAGTCCCTCACCCTGGAATCGATGTGTTCAATCCCTCAACCTTCAAGATTGATGGACTTAAGGGACTGATTACCTCAGGCTCCTCTTTTTCCACCCATCTTTGTATTGGGC